TCTTCCTCAGTTCTGTGAATTTAGTCCTCCCAAATTTTGTTTTAAACTGAAATTATTAGGAGAATTTGGGTTGTAAACAGGCTAGGGAGGAAATAAAAGTGCATTTTGGGGGAAAAAAAAACAGTTTATTCTGCAGCTCTAAATTTTACAAGATGGAGAAAAGAATTTAACTTTGTTTACAAAATATAAAATATATTTTTCAATAAAGAAAAAAAACACTGCCTAAGATGACATCCAAAATCACTCTATGCTAAAAATGTTGCTTTTTTTAAAAGAAAGAGAAGTTTCATACTACCATACATAGCGTTTGAATAGTGATGAATATTCTTCACTGTTTCCCCCGGGGGTGGGGGTATCCTTACCCATCTTTTGGCTGGAAATTCTGTCCGCAGTCGACTCTGACTGCTGGGCCACGGTTTGCCAGGCCGTGGCATAAAAACTTTGGGAACCCCTGCACTAAAGCTTTAATCTTTAAATTAAGGTTAAATTATTCTTTTAAGCATGGTAATTTACTAGCAAAGTCTAATCAGTTTAGAATCATAATTTAAGGGATGATCTTACCCTTAGACCCTCACTGCAAATTGCATACCTAAATGACGTGTTCAATACTTTCTCTCATTCCGAAATCTCATAAGTATTGATGGGAGCTCTGCAGGTCAGCTAAAATAAAAGATACACAATAGACATCTCCGCAATTCCAAGAATGAGAGAGGATCAACGTTTGGGGAATGTTTTACTCTGTTGGGTCATTGGGAGTGTTCAGTCTGGTTGAAGACCTATTTTACACCAAGCCATTTGGACTACAATTACCATTTGTTGCTTACCACCATTTCAGCTCTTCAGGTGATAATGGTAGAAATACTGATGTAGACAAGAGTTGTCTGCTGTTAACTAGATCAGCCTCTGCTCAGAACACATATGCATGACACAGCATTTAAAATATAGAGAGCTGCTAGACACAGCTAATTATATATTTTTTTCCTCTTCAAAATAAAAATCAACAGAAACAAATATTTGTTTGGATTTCAGCAACTTTGGTTGAAAATATAATCCAGAATAGACATTTTCCTGAAAAATTTCAGGTTTGATTTAATACCCATCTTCCACCAAAAATATTTTCACAGGGTTTATTCCTTTATTAGTTTTACAGCCAGCATCTTGCCAACATTTTGGACAGTAAGCTGACAGTATACCCTTTTTGTTAAGAAGGCTAAAGGCATACTGGGCTACGTTATTAGGAGTGTTGCCAGCAGATTGAGGGAAGTAATTTTTCCCCTCTATTTGGCACTGGTGAGCGCACATCTGCAGTACTGTATCCAGTTTTGGGTCCCCTGCTACAGAAAGGATGTGGACAAATTAGAGACAGTCCAGAAGAGGGCAATGAAAATAGTTAGAGGACTGGGGTACATGACTTAAGAAGAGAGGCTGAGGGAACCGGGCGTATTTAGTTTAGAGAAGAGAAGACTGAGGAGGAATTTAATAGCAGCCTTCAACTACCTGAAGGGTTGTTCCAAAAAGGATGCAGCTAGACGGTTCTCAGTAGTGGAAGATGGCTGAACAAGGAGCCGTGGTCTCAAGTTGCAGAAAGGGAAGTTTAGGGCAGATATTAGGAAAACTCTCTAGCTAGGAGAGTAGTGGAACAGGTTATCCAGAGCGGTTGTGGACTCTGCATCCTTGGGGGTCTTTAAGATCCAGCTAGACAAACCTTGGCTGGAGACATCTAGTTGGGGATGGTCCTGTTTGAACAGGCAGTTGGATTAGATGACCTCCTGAGGTCCTTTCCAATCCTAATTTTCTATGATTTTTACCTTAGTTGCACTAAAGGATCTGAATCATTGATACCCATGATTTAAAAAAAAAAAAAACTTCAACCAAAATTATCTAGGGTAAAATGCTGGCCTCAATGATGTCAATGACTTCACTACAATCAGTATTTTGTAACTTCTGTATAAAACATTTCATTCAGTTACATCATCTCATGACTATGTGGTTCCCAGCATACTTTTGTCCTAAAAGAAATGTCCTAAAAAAGGATACCAGTGTTTAAATCACATTGAAAAAAAGTTCCCTCACTTGATTCATTTACAAACTTGATGTGATACTATTCCCATGGAAGTCAATGGTAAAATCCCAACTAATTTTAATTGCAGAAATATTGTGTATAGCTTTTAACTGTGAAACAACTCTTCAAAATCTAGTATTTTTTACTATGATGCATGCATCTCAGACATACAGGCACCCTAAATCAGAAGAATGAAAGCAAGTTTATCCTTTCCACAATAAAATTGTGATATTATTCCACCTGACTACATACATATATTGTAAGATAACTTAAAACTGAGAAATAATTAAGTTGATCACTGAATGCTTTTCCTCCATAAATGCTTGTTTTTACTTTATCCATCACTAATTTCACAGAAGCTAAGGGAAAGACTCTATTGATTTTGATGTGTTCAGAAACAGACCTATGTCAACATTGTTGAATGTAATGTGTGCATTGCAGCTTCCAGCAAACGTTTCTGCTCTAATCACTAGCTTAAAAAAGAAATCAATAAAGTATTGAGCACTGAGTAAAGAAAAGGTTTATTCAAATGTACAAAAAATGTCATCCTTTCTCATGAATTTTCTTTTACTGAATTAGCATTCTTATAGTGAGAACGATTTGCTCAACAAGTTGTCACATTAACCTTCTTAGTCATTCCCTTTTAACTGTTTTCAAGCCAGCCTCAGAACATTCAGACACATTTTTAATTTGCATACTCAAAGTTTCTCTTAGAGTGATCTTTTCTTGCTTTCAACAATCAAAATCTTGAATTTGCATTTGAGTCAATTTTAAGTGGTTCTTTAAAAATTAACCTAGATATAACCAGCCATATTCTATTCTACCAATTAAGGGTCCAATTGGACTTAGGCAACTAAATGTGCTTCTAGTCCATACTGTTCAGATTCTGAAAATCTATTGATTTCCCTACTTTTATAAGAAAAGGTTCTTTGGGTAGATGTGATACCTTTTATTACACCATCTAAATAGTTGTAAAAAAGTTCTTTGCAAGACTTTGGGTAGAAAAGAAGCCAAAATTCAGGCCTGTGAAAATGGAAATGTGTGGCAGTGAGGTTCAGAGGGAATGGGAAACAACAGATGTGACACTGGTAGGTGGGGTGGGGGGAAAGAAGAATGTTGTACTGGGGATAGAATGTAGCTGGTAAAATGCAGACAGGTTACCTGGGGTTATCAGATGGCAGGCAGGTTATAATGTGCTTCTATATTTAGTCCATGATTTTTTGTATCCAGTAGGTTGATGAAGTGAAGTTCATAGTCTTGTCTACAAAATGTGCTTTGTAAATTCCCGCTCAGAATTAGAACTGAGAGATTGGAGAGGGAGTGGTTATCTTGTGAGAAATGTGCACCTACAGATAATTGGGGGGGTTTGTCTTTGACAGATTTCTGATGTGCGTTCATTCTGGCACACAGTTGTTGTTGGGTTTCTTCTACATATTTTCCATCAGGGCATTTGGTGCACTAGATGAGATGTATTACATTTCTGGAGGTGCAGCTGTAAGATCCAGGACTAGTGATGGTTCTGTTGTGGGATGTAGTTATTGTCAGAGTGGTGGAGATGTACTGGCAGATTTTACAGTTTTTGTCCCAGCATAGTCCTGAGCCATTTGGTGTGGTTTGGGTGATAGGAATTTTGCTTCTGGTGATGAGTATGGTGAGGTTCTGTGCTTGTTTAAAGGCTATGATGGATGCTTCTGAAAAGATCTTTTAAGAATTGGGTATTCTTCTAGTACGGGCTGTAACTGTTTGAGGATTTTCCATATAGGTTCCACAGAAGGAAGGTACGTGATAACTGAAGGTGTGAGATTTGTGAGGATTTTCTTTTTGTACTGCAGCAATTCTTCACATGGTATCCAGGTGGATCTTTCAAAAGTACAATTTCTCTCTCTGGAGCAGTGTCTTTTTGAGATTTGCAAGGTAACAATTATGAGTATTCTCCTCAGTGCAAATGTGCTGGTATAGAAGGGCTTGACTGTATATTACAGCTTTCTTGATATGTTAAGGGTGATTGCTGGTTCTGTGTTGATATGTATGTTGGTCTGTGGATTTCTTGTACATGGTGGTTTGTATTTTGCCATTCTGGATATTGATCATAATGTCTAAAAAGGAAACGTTGGTGCTGGAGTATTCAAGAGATAGTCTGATGGACAGGTGATGGTTATTGATTTCCATCACAAATTCAATCAGAGACTGCAGGTTTTTGGTCAAAATGATGATGTTGTCATCTATATATCTTAGGTATACCATGGGTTTGATGATGCAGTTCTTGAGGAATTCTTTTTCTACTTTTGTAACATACTATTATCTCAATCTTAAGACTGAGTCATCAGAAAGCAGTGAGGAAGATGGGGACCCACACACCTTTTGCATTAATTGTTTTTCAGTGACTCAGCAATAGCAGGATAGAATAACACTTAGGTGCCTAATTTCAGTTATACATCGAATAAGTCAGTGGTTTTCAACCTTTTTGGACTCAAAGCTCCTCTCAGTAGACCCAAGGGAAATATCAGCTCTTATTTTTCACTCAATTTTTCACTACAAAAAAACAGATCAATTCTTCTGCTGCAAAGACCTCAGAAAACCCATAACATATCAGAATGGTTTTTAACACTATGGATTCCTATTTTAAATCTCTGGGTTTATCTTGCAAGTTAGGTTTGCACACCTAACAGTTCTAAAATTGCATGACACTCTGCAGCACCCTACCTGAGAATCACTGGAATAGAATCTGGTTCATAACGCATAACTTTATTTACATACTTCCAAACTCTTAAAGACAAGTTAAAATACTAGAGTTCTAGCTAGCGGAGAAAAAAATCCTTTGAAGCCATGATCACAAGTTAAAATAATACTATTGTTTTTGTTCCAGTAATTTCAAACACTAACAGCTATCAACCTTTTCCTCTATAATCCTAAAGAATTATGAGAAATTACGACTTACCTTGGAAAGTCCGCCTACTTCCAAATAGAAGCAGATAATGAAAACATTCCATGTGACCCAGAGCGCAGTCCACACGGTGTACTAGACACAGAGATCCAGATGAAAGCAAAAAGAAAGAAAAATACATTTGTGAAAATGAAAAGACTTTATACTGAGCAGATCAATAATAAAAAATCTGATATCAATACATACAGTTCTTCTGGGAACAGCTAAGCAGAGAGACTCCAGAAAGACACTACTTCCAGCTTGAGTCCCATAAGAACCATAGCAAATTACAAATCCAATATTTTCTGCTGCTCTAAATAAACACCAGTAAAACCTAGATTTATTGGATTGCTGTTTTGGGGACATTTATGACTCATATGCATCTCATTATTCAGCTCTGTTGGTGGATCTTTCAAAATTGTACAGTTACTTAGGTTCATGATAGTCTACTTTGTAAGAGAAAATGTTAACAGAAAAAGAAGTAGGAAAAGAAACAAACAAATAAACCAGAAGTGCTATTAATCAGTTATGGGGTTGTCATTTGAAAATGAGTCAAATTAAACATGAATTGGTCTCCAAGAACTTTCTTCTAATACAAGTTATGTTATTTTTTCCAATTAAACATGACAGCCTGTTTTTTGAAAGTTTACTCTGCAGAATAAATTCAGCTCTGGCATGAATGGGTACAAGACGAGGAAAATGATTGGCACCGTATCTGCTGTCATGAGTGTTGAATTTGGATTGGTTGATTTGAAAGCATCACAATCTTATAATAAAACCTGAAGAGACAGACGCACAGACCTGCAGGGCTCCCTTCCGGAGCCTGCGTTCCATGCTGATGCAAGGATCTGTTCACGCAGAACATGACCCGGGACTTATTTTGTTCACCTTTTTTTTAGTAAACTAATGTTATTTACAAAGGGATCGCACCATTTACCTAACTAGGGTTGTAGGCTGGCACAATTACCTATCCAAGTGTTCTTGTTCATAATCATTTATATATGAATACCTAATTGCATAAGAAGCAATGCTGGAGCTGCACCCAAAAACAGTGTAAAGAGATGCTGGACTGGCTGTGTCCCTTTACATTTACATGCTATTTACCTTCACAGTAGAAGAAAAGTTGTTTATAAGCTTTACAAGTCCAACTAACTGTGAACAGGTCATGCTAAGATGTTGTTGTTTTGCTTCTATATGTTCAGTAAAACACCACCATAATGTACAATATGCCAGGTCCTGTTTCTATTCAAAAGGTACTGTCAGTTTGACTTTGTTGCACAATTTTCAGTTATGCTTCCTTCTTCCTCCACCTCCCTGTGATTTATAAACAAACAGTGCCATGGAAAGGGGGTTTGTATTTTTCATGCTTTGATTTTTTTTGCATGTTACCCATTTTTGCACTCCAGTACCTTCCGTATGCAAAATGGGTTATTTAGTTTAGTTTTATTTTTTTAATGATGCATCTGTGACTCTTGAGGATGATTACTATGTGAAAGGTAGAGAATGAATAAACAAAATGAGATTAATAGACCCAGTCAATAGTCTCTATATTACAAAGAAGAGCATTATACTAATGAAGGCTCATTTTTAATTTTTTAATTATACAATGATAAAATTATTGAAATAAGTGTGATCTATTGCTAATAAAAGGCTTTCTCCTTTGATATATTATTTATTTTAAAAAGATACCTTATAATTTTTCTCTCTCTCTGACTTTGTGGCAACCCACTATAAACTCTGTATCAAATACAATAATTGATTTATGCATATGCAATAGCCAAGCTGTGGAAGGATATCTTTAAGAGCACCGGCATTCAACAACATGAACACCTAATTCTTATCCACGTGTTGGAATTTTTGTAATGTTATTTTTTAACTGTTTATTAAAAATAGATTTAAAAATAGTCAGACAATTATACTTTAAAAACAATATAATAGAAAATAAATTTCTACATTAATAGAATACATCACCAGATATTTAGCAGTAAGTACTACTTCACGTCAGCTACTCCAAATTATACCAATATATGATATGATCCTGTTCCATGAAAATCAATGGAAGTTTTGCAAAATGGCAATGAAAGCCACTTTAAGCAAAACTGCCATTGGTTACCATAGCTGACTCTGCTGGGGCAGAGTAAGGTTATGAATACAAGAGCATCTTGCTGCAAGGTCAGCAAAGAACTTACTTCACTTTTATTGATGTGCAAAATATCTTGCATTTACTGTGGGGTATGAGTGTGAACATGAGTTACCATGTCCCAACTTCATAATAACTTTTTGTGCCCATAGCCTAAGGCAAGCATACGCGCACACAGATGGAGTTTTGAGTATTCACACACTTTCACAAATTCCTATATTTTGAAAAAAGCAAACTGAAAAACAAGACATTCCAGTAGGTGGTGTCATACTGATACTCATCAGGTGCATTTAAATGTGCTATTACTGCGCATGAATAAACTCCAGAGCTGATTTCTGTTTGAACATGCTCCCAGGAGCAATAAAATCTGGAGTTTATTCCTGCACAGTATGTTGAGCCAGTTCAGAGCAGCCCCAGTCCCAGGAGTCAGCTTGACAGCCCAGGACTGCTCCCCACAGCTCAATGTTCTGTGGAGGGGCTGGCTGGGGCATGAGGGTCTCTTCAGTGGCCCAGCCGGCTGGGACAGCATCTACACATGAGCTGCTGTGGAGTTTTTTTTTTTTTTTTTTTTACTATGCAGCAGGACAGTGCTTGAATTAACAAATATTATTCTGCTTCCAAGTAAATTAGTTTACTCCAGCCTAATAAGGGTGCACATGTAGATACTGAGATGTTTACTGCATAACTAATTAGTCAACTAACTAATCAGTCACCTTTATTCATTGATAAACATTGTGTGTGTATGCGCTCACCAGGATTATCAGCAGAGATGGAACTGTTGTAACCTCCAAACCTAGTTTCAACTGCTCCGCCTTCAGCTAGCTAGTAACTGATAGCATTAATAGGTTGATCTGCTCTGTGTGGAGCAGCCCTAGAGGAGTTCAAGCCCTTTGACAGTAAGTGTCACAGATATTTGCTGACAAGAAAGGAAAGCTGAGATTCGGGCATCTTTAATTCCATCCAGGAATAAGAGGGGATATGTTCTGTGAGCATATCCTTTCCTATCAATTCTACTTGCCCAGGACTAGTTTTGTCCCTCCACACACATAACATCTCACATCTCTATTATATCACAGGGGTGCTCCACGCCCAGGTCTGCAGGCCAGATCCAGCCAGCAGGGCTCCTCACGGGTATGTGGGAAGCCCTGTGGGTCGTAGCCCTGTGCACTAAATAGGGTGCTCAGAGCAACATGGGGCCTCATCACAGCATGTAAAGCCAGGCCAAGGGAGTGTGGGGCCTTGGTCCCCAATTTCAGCATCCAGGGCCCCAGTCCTGATGCCAGCATGTGGGCATGGGTGGGGGAAGTGCAGGGCCCCAGTCCTGGCACACGGGGCCAGCAGAAGGCAGCACAAAGCCCCGATCCTGGCATGTGAGACTGGATAGAGGAGACATGGGGCCCTGATCCCAGTATGCAGGGCTGAACAAAGGTGGTGCATGGGCACTGGGCAGGGGAAGTGCAGAACCCCAGTCCTGATCCAGGCATAATGGGATGGCACAGCCCTGATCCCAGTGCACAGAGTCAGATCTGACCCATTCTCCTGTGCCATTCCCCTGGCCTGTGGGACCAAGATGTTGAGCACCACTGCTCTGTCACACTTTCCAGAATTGGCCATCCCTAGACTACATGCCCCGCTAGTTTCAGTTCCCACTGTCTAGGTCCTCATTCAATCTGCATTCTTACCCTTCACTCTTTACTCCTACCCACTTTCTCCCATTCCCTCAAATACCTGTCTCCACATACCCAAAGTCCTAATTTCGTTTCTTAGGCCTCTTCAGTCTCAGGTTCCTTCACTTTTTCCTGTTTTTT